AAAAATGTTAAAACTAAATCTTTAATGCTGAATAACATTAAAACTCAATTCAAAAAGAGTGTCATAAAAAAATTAAAAGTTCTGGAATTTGTCGTTATATTTTTAATGTAAAATGGTATAAAAAGAAAGAAACCTAAATATTAAAAATATATTCCTATTTAAACATATTTAAAAGAAAGAAATATATCAAGAAATTTGAAGTCTATGTGTTACTGCAGAAGTCGTTCGATTTTGCTTTTAATGTAGAGGGAAGTTAGCACAGGTTGTTGATTTTGCACTCGAGGTAACATCTGGTTTTAAAACCCTATTTTACCTATAACTCTATAAAGTCAGGTTATAAAATAACATTTTTTGCTAAAATAATCACTGAATAATATAAAATAATAGTTCTAGTTATGACAGGCTATAAAATAACAGTTCCTGCAAATTATTTTTAAAAAGTCTAGGTAAATCCGTTTTATCTAAAGATTATCTTGAAGCTACATTCAGCAACTCATACTTGTAACATGAAAAATAAATGAAAGGCCATTTTTTTTCTTAGAAATATTACAAAAAGAAATATTCAGCAGGAGTTCTGGACTTACCTGATAAATCAAAAGGAAAGGATGGAATTTTATTTGCGTAACCAAACGGCTGTTGTCTTTAAATAATATGTTAATGTGTTTTTGGTACAATAGTTTACACTTTATTTAAGTCTTATTGATAGTTAGGATTAAAGTTGATTCTTTCCTTTATGCCTCGTTTTGCCACGTACTTTCTCTATTCAGAAGTTTCTGTAGATTTTATGACAAGTGTCACAGCATAAATTAAGGAGAAATATCGCAGTCACCATTACTTTTAGTAGAAACGTTGCTGTTGTCATCGTTTGTTTGCGTAATTCTTTGGTTTGGTTTATTCTATTATGGCAAAGCACTCAAAAACTAGCTGCTTATGGGGCAGAGAGGATTTCGTGGATGGCTTTCTGAAAGAAACTGGCTCGTATGCCTGTTAACCATTGGGAAAACGAAAACATCCATGCAATCAGCCAATTCGCCAATTTTCGAACGCGGGTCGAACTACCGGTGTTAAGTGACGTTGTTGCATGGGCTCTGGTGAGCCATATTTACCAGGCGGAAGCCACTGTTTAGAATAAACGTGAACGCCTCATATTCAGCTGGTTCAAGTAAGTTTGAAAGTTAGTAGAGATAAGTTGTCCGACCCAACTGGGTATCGGCAGCTTCCCATAGGATCTCTGGAATTGTAGTAACTTAATTTATTGTAAATTTTCCGCCAATAGCTGTGATCAAGGAGATTTAAAGTTTTGTGTTGTATTGTTTTTTGTAATTTAAACTCATCAGAGGTGAGATGATAAATTTTTAGTTAACATTTTACGCTTCGTAATTACCTCTTCTTCCCACACTCAGTTAAGCAAAAGGCTATATTCGCCCTCACAGTAAAGGTAGCGATTGAGGGTGAGTGGTTGACAGAAGAAACTAATTAGGTATACGTCGTTATAACAGCATGCGACGTGGTGGCGTAATGTTATTTCAGTAATTGCCTTTATTTAAACCTGTTAAACAATGCTAACTCAGACAGCTTTTACTGATACTTTTTATAATAATATTAGCAACTTTGTATTATTAATAGCGTTTTTATAAATATATTACCAGATTTTTTTCATGAAATCAGAAATTACATAAAGTTTCATTAGCTGATTTTAAAGGTAAGCAACAATCAAACAGCAAGTCATTATTCTATTTAAATAATTTTAAAAATATTTAAGATTAATATTACCAGCAACATCTCATAGGTATCGAGGCGCATGCGGCTGATCAATCAGTTCATGTAGCAGAAAGGAGTAATTAGAGCAGCAAATCTAGCTCTCTTTCTCAAACTCAAGAACTGTACGCTTATATACATGATCTAATTTGCATTCTGGCTTAATTGACTAACATAAAAGAGATGGTAAAGCCAAAATAGTAAGATAAATGGGTTGATTAACATAAAACCTTATATATTTAGGAAACAATTCTATTATCATTTTATGGGGGACTGCGAAATTGAAATAGTTCATTCATTTAAAGATATTTTTATGTATGCTTCTTATATAATTGGCACTGCATAATGATACCAAATAACAGACTTTAAAAATACTAAGTATTTATACCTTATGTTTTAAACTATGGACATTGGAGGAGTTTAATCTACCTGTTATGACATTAATTAACTTTAAAAAGAAAAACAAAGAACTGATTGCGGAACGAAACGCAAAAATCTCTCAAAGCGCATGGAATATTGGATCCTTATCAATGTAAACTATTTGAAATTTGAAAGAAAGATGAAGATTTTTGAAGATGCAGATATTTGTTTCCACTCATTCTTACTAGCAAAGTTGAAGATACGAATTTAATTTATATGAAATGAGTATGAGAATTGTGCGTTAAATATAACTTTAAAATTTTTTAGTGCAATGAAAAGTTGCTTATTTTCATTGCACTAAAAAAATATAAGGTATTTTTCATTCAAATATAAGCTATTTTTATAGCTTAGGCTAAACAATCTAAGCCACATAAATTCTCTATAAAGCATTACTTAAGCCTATTTTTCGCATTCCATTGTTCTGTCAGTACTCGTAAACAGTGTCGATGTATTTTCTATATTTAAAAGCCTGCCACCAATCAACGCTGTGTATGACTGGTAATTATTGCGCACAAACCGCATTGCATTTGGTCATTTTCTTCTATCTAAGCTTCTTCTGCATAATCCGCAGAACAGTCAATAGGCTTGTTTCGAAATAGAAGACATGAAAAATGAGCAACGCCCTTACCAGGATTCATCCCCCCGGGGGTCGACGTAGAGAACTCTTCGAAGCTACTGGCTAGGATCTGTACCTAGGTAGTCTCGGCCACGGGGGATAAAATTTATGAACTTGGTGGGTTCTGAAGTCCCTGGGAAAGGTCACTTATTGGACGGCCTCGGGGACTGCCATGTCCTGAGCGGTGTGGAACCGTAGCCGGAGGGTTAGTTTTCCTCGGTTTGCTGGGTAACGGCCCACTGCGACGGGCTCGCCCATGCGACTGGTAGGAGCAACTTGACGACCGGTGCTGCCTGGTGTCTTATCCAGGTGGTGCGCTGCTCCCTTGGAAGGGTAATAGTGGAGGTTGAACCTCCACGAAGTGCCCAAAGGGGGAGTGGACCTGTAGTTTGATTAAGTTCAAGAGGCAGGGAAGCCAAAATCTTGTTGTTGTTGTTACCAGGATTCAAACCACTGGATCTTCCACTCGTCAAATCCTGAAGGTAACGCATTTGCCTCCACCACATTTTAGTTCTAACGCCAGTTTAAAGTCTCTGGGTTTATCGAAACTGGTGACATGAGAAATGTAAAATGAACTCCCAATTACCTCCTGATTGCTAGCCGGACGTACTTCCACAGATTTTGACAGATGTGACATATTTTTCATAGTAAAAAGTATGTGGTAGGGGATACTGATCAGTTATCCATTATTTACTAATAATTTAATATTCTAGAAATTCAATAAATGTGTTTGTTAAAATTTATCATTGCATTTGTTTATTTATCTTGTGTATATTTTTACGGTCGTCTGTCAAGTTACTCCATTTGTTTGAGCCGAGAGGCTTTTAAGAAATATGGAGCTTTATTGAATTTGGTGTTATTGTTCTTTTCCCCTAGTGTGCTTTCACAACGCGCCAATTGTACTAACCACTTACGATTAATTGATTTGAAAATGTATTTAAGTTTATTAAGGAATTCTTATGATGTTTGTTTTTGTTAGTTTTGTCCGGCACCAAGGTAATGAAGTTTTAAAAGTTTAAACCCCCTAAGTTTTAAGAAACGTAACAGTACAGTAGAAACGGAAATCGGAAGCTATTATACTTAGAAAAAAAAACGAGGATACGCAAATAACGGATCTCCGACAGATGTGACATTTGAGCTGCCCGCTTACGGATAGCATGATTTGTAAAGAAACTCGAAACTATTATAGATACAAAGGAATGGGTATACACAAACGTGAGAATTCGGGGAGATCTGGCATTTGCGCAGCCCTCTTACGGATAGCTGCTATAGAAGATATCTTGAGAACTATATTTATTACAAAAAGAAAACCTACAAAAATTTACGCATGAAAATCTTTGTCATTTAAAGCAAATTTTGATTTTACCTCTGTCTGAACCGGAGTCAGCATTCCTTACGTTAAAGATGAGTAAATTTTGATTAAATATATCTCGGGATATATTATTGCTACAAACAAATGCAAGTAAGCAAAATGTTGGATATCAGGAACGCTTTCATTTGCACCAAGAATTTTCATTTTACCTATAATAGAAGGGGAGTACCTGAAAGCATTTCCGGAACTGTGATACTTGTAGAGACATACTTACAGTGCATGTATGATAGAATGCATGTATGATACATGATCTTACAGTGCATGTATGATAGAATATTTTTGGAAGTAGGAGAATTGAAAAATTAGCAAACGCCTTCGCCGGGAATCGAACCACGGACCTCTGGAATACCGGCGCCCAGTGTGCAGAACCACTACACCACGAAGGCACGCTAGGAAGGCGGGAGAGATATCTTATTAAAAAACATACAAAAGTTTGCGCTTTAAGTCGCACAATCATTTAAAAAAAAAAATTTGTCTCTACCTAAAATAGAACCGAAGTTACGTTTGGGTATCCCAACTAATGCTAAATAAGGTTGGGTATACAACTTACAGTGCATGTATGATAGAAACGGAGACTAGTGATCTAATAAAGTTAGAGTGGTGAGCTGCTCATCACGTTCACTTCTAAAGGAGAGTTGTCACTGACGACAGTCGTTCCCAGTACGAGATCTATGATATGTATCGCTAATGTAATTGCCCAGAATATCTGGGAAAGATTATAAATTTCTCTAGCTGTTGCCTTTCATGCCTTTATTGTTTCAGTTGTATTTTATCTCCTACCAAAATAAATTAACGAAACAGTGTATTTTATTATTCATTATTCTCCTGTTGCAGCACTAGCTACTTGTCCTCGATGTAAAGTAATGCTATTTGTGTGGTATTCTATATGGGCATTCATAAAAGATGCATCAATGGGGAAGGTAATCAGCAAAGGAGAGACGACAAAAAGAGGGACATCATCAAATAAGGAACATATAAAGAAGGATTAAGTACAAATACAATGAAAACTGCAAGAATAAATACGAATTACCTACAGGAAAGTGGCATATAATTAACATTCAAACTAAGAAAATAATGTAAATGATATCTGAGATCTCTCAAAGAAAAAAGATCTGCCGACGATCTCCCCAAATATGTAAGGCTTATTCATAATTTTGAGTTTTTTATTATGCGCCGCTTAATGACGAATGTTTTTGATTTCCGCGTAGTTAATATTAATTTTCTGTTTTACCGTCTGATAGTAGAAATTTGTTAAAAATTTTTATGTATTTAATTTATTAACCGAGTTCCTAATTAAAAGTGTTATAATCATAATTGTGCAATTTGTGTCTAACCCCTCAACAAATTCATCATTTCAAATAAAACATTAACTGCATCATTAATTACAAATTTTATGAACGAAAAGTGCGTAGAAAAAAAAAACTTTATTGAATTAATTTTAGCGACTTCTTTTTGGAGTCTTCGTTTGCTACATTAATTATCATACGCCCGTCCACGTGAATCCAAAATATTTATATTCAGCAATTTCGAATCGTTTAGAATAAATTCGAATAACATCTGACTAATACAAACTAAGAACCCTAAAAATTCCCATAAAGTGATTAACAATATAGTTAACATGAAGCAATGTTTATCCAAATAAGGAAATATATTCCTTTCAGAAATATTAAATTCTAATGCAAATATCCTACCATCATTGGATTCAATATATACAGCTTTCATTAATTACAAAAAATCACTGCAATCTTTCTCAAATGTATTCTTTGAAGAATCGCTAAAAGCTGTATGCTGCCTTTATATTGTATCATATAGATTAGTAACTCTGTATCATATACTCTCACTTTCATATAATTTTATTTTTACTACATTATATCATACATACTTTTATTTAGTGACTTGTTGAGTATACTTAAATATTTTGTTTTACATTTTGTCTTAATGTAAGAAGAATTAGCTTCCGTTTTTACAGCATGTCTCGAATATTTCCTATCCGAATATAATTCGAATATTCATTATTTACTGCAATTACCTATAAGTTACTTATTTTGGTACTGAAATATTTTACGATGATAACAAAAAGACGAATTTTGCCATTTGAACAGAATAAACAACCTCTGGTAATATGTTCTCTGTTTGGAAATGTTCCATGATAATATGATCCTGAGAAAGACCTGATCTTACTACTCATGTAATAGCTCGTCAAAGTAAAGCGGCTAATGGGCTTTTGAGTTTACGGTTTACTTTAATACGTGCGATCTAGTATAGTACGATCCAAAAGTAACTATAACGCCTGCAGTTCCTAGCGAACAATACTCCCAATATTTAGGACTATACTTTCTATACTGAAAAGATATGGTTCATATTATGAGCAACAGAGATAGAGAACTCGTGTTTACATGCTGGTCTATCAAAAATCCAAATGGTGATTTCGACCCCCAGGTAAAAGCGTTTCGAGGATTTCTCCGGAACTGCTCGATAGAAAATCGCAATTTTTGCGTGTAGGAGACTACTCATGTGACCTTTCTTTCATCTCCCGCAAGAACGGTGACTCTATAAGGTATTTCTCCCGCCTTCCTAGCGTGCCTTTGTGGTGTAGTGGTTCTGCACGCTGGGCCGGTATTCCAGAGGTCCGTGGTTCGATTCCCGGCAAAGGCAACTGCTCATTTTTCATCTTGCCTGCTTCCAAAAAAAAAAAAAAAAAAAAAAAAAAAAAAAAAAAAAAAAAAATACCTAATGTCTCTACAGTGGCGCCAGAGCTAAAAGGGTGTTGGATGATGATTCTCCTCACCCAGGATTTGGCGATTGGGTCTCCTGAAAACCCCAGTCGCCCTTTAAAAGGGGAGTGTAAAATGTATTTCTCCCGCCTTCCTAGCGTGCCTTCGTGGTGTAGTGGTTCTGCACGCTTTGCCGGTATTCCAGAGGTCCGTGGTTCGATGTGTAAGAATTATGCTAATTTTATTAACAGTTAAATATTGAGTTAAACTTCTTTTCTGTCAAATTAATAATAATAAACACGTTAATCGGTTTATGTAAATTATACTTGCTAACGCTTAAGTATTTAAATTGCGGCTTTTCGCCAAGAACAGAGTTAGATGGGGAGAGAGAGAGAGCCTTCTTGCCACTGTACTTCACGCGAGCTTTCAATCAGTTGCTGTCCGCCTTTAAGGCCAGAGGTTTAGTCCTCTTAATATCTAAGACGTATTGTAGTTTTCCGCAGTTTGCGCACTACATACGTAATAATCTGAAAGTCAGTCTTAGTGTTAATCATCTGTGTAAAGTATTCAAAGTTAGCTCTTATTTAAATTTAGTTAGTTAGTAGTTCTTATATTTTTACGTTCAGACCACAAGCAGTTGGTCTTTGTATCCCGAAGTGCTGGAGCGCCTGTAATATCGTGGAGAATAAAGGGTAAAGTTAACCCTTCCTGCTTATGTTGTCGAGCTCGAACATAGCTTGAGTAAGCGCCCTGTTCCCATTCTGGATTATTAGATGTTTCTTAAACAGATTAGACGATCAACCAGTCCTGATAGGCTTAAAGATAAAAGCATCAGCGTTCTTACTTTGACCTTCTGTAAATAGGAAATTAAATAACGGAAAAAAGAAAAAGAATCTACGGCCAAGTACACATAAATATAATGTGGATTTCAGACATTAGTTTTTTGAAGACAGGATGGCCATTATAGTGGCCATAGAGTCCTCTCTTTGAAAAAACGGGGTTGTCCATCTTAGTGGACATGTCTTTTTCCCCCAATTTCCAGGCTGAAAAGTGGTGTGAAATGTCAACCTTGACGTCCCTAGGGTTTTTAACCACTTATCTCTTTCAAAGATCTTCCTTTTGCGACAGGGCCCACCAGCGGCCGAGCGGTAAAGACGCTGAACACTGGTAGTTCGGTCCGAGGTTCGAATCCCGCGAACGGGCTGGCTGCATGGGCGTTTTCGTGGTTTTCCCCATGTGTAACGTGTATACGAGCCAGTTTCCCTTAGAAAGTCCTCCACGAAGGCATCCCTCCCTTTAGGCAGATAGCCCTCGTGTGCTTTGCCATTATTAAATAATCCAATCCAATCTAATCCAATCCTTTTGCGACATAGATGCACCCCTCTGAGAATCCATTAAACTACACACAAGAATCTTTTGTTGCAAATAGGAGATGATTTCTTAAAGGGGGAAAAGCATTCGGTTCAAGATTCTCCGTCCTTTGACAGCTTTTACTGCTACCAAAGCCCCGGCCTCAAAAGGTTAGGATAGATTTAGTCCTAAGGTGTTATCGAAAATATACAATCGGTACTTACAAGCAGCGCAGAATCAAGTAAGAGTAGCTATACTTGGAAAGGCAAAAATACGCTTCATATTTTCAAAGCAAACAAAACCAACAGCCGTAGATAAAGGTTAGAAAGCATTTTACCAAATTAATAAGGGATAAAAATGAATGTTTTGTAGTAAAATGCGTGATAGTAAAATAAAATGCGCCGTGCATGACTAATAATGGATATTCTTTTTTCCTTCCACGTCCAGCTTGAAGTATGGATTATGCAAAATTTTGAGTAAAGTGATACAAGTTAAGAAATGTAACACATAATAATAATAATAATAAATACCCAACGCCGAAATAACATTTATATAAATGGGCTACTTGTGATAGAATTGTAGGGATTAAAACGCTTTTCATAAAAATCCGTTTGAAGACTTGCATTCGAGGCCTTTTTTTTCTGGAAGGGGCACGTGTAGCATTAAGTTTCAATTTCACTGAGAAATTTTATTTAAGGCTTAGTCAAGTGGTTACTTCGCCAATTCTTAACAAATTTTATTTCATTCACATCTTTCTTATTGCCTCATTTCACCATGAGATTCGCTCGTTAAAGAATCTATGCAGATTTGGGTGTCAATTAGTTCTACTGTAAAGTTAGAAGAATAGCGCATGTGAAAGTTTTGGTATTCGCGCCGACGTTGTCTGCCGTGGCATTTCTTTCTTGGAAAATTCACCTCTAGTCTCGAGTTAGAAAAGTACAAAGATAGAAATGGTTTGGAAAGCTATAAGTTTGAATCACTGTTGTAGTTTTAGAGGAATCCTGTAGCTTTTGTTAGAATAAATCAGATTGTTTGTAATTATTTTATGGAAGCTTGTGTTTTCAGCAAGATCCAGTTGACTGGTATTTTTGCATTGTATGATTTTTATTTAACCCTCATAAGTGGTGAGACAGAATAAATTTAAAGTTGACGTATATTTGTGTCTTTTTTTTTTAAGTGTGTAATCATTCTAGTCAAGAGAACTAACGCATGGAGTCTCCGTAACACATAAGGTAATTTGTAAGATAGCTCTTTATATTTATTGAATCCCAAACAAGTACTCCGAAGTTATTTTATTTGCAAAACAATTCCTGACATAAGCGATCTACCGATTTGTAACTTCAAATTCAGAAATTTCAATTTTGTACTATAGCGTAACGCATAGTGCTGTCACGTAACCGACTAGCACATTTAAACCCTTTTTGGCAGAAAGGGAGCGAAAGAGAAGAAAACGCCATTCGATACAAGCACTCGCAATGAAACGTTAAAAATGACTGTGGCCGTAGACACAAATGGTTTTCGATGGCCTCTCAAACTCATTTGCCTTTTTCTCGTTACAGAAAACAGGAGATAAATGATGATTTTAGAGCTTTCTTAGACATGGAGGCCCTACACCAAGGGATTACCCTAGGCTCGAGCAGCCTAGGCAGCTATTTAAATGTGATTCGGACAATTTAAACGGTAAATTTTCTTCTTTGCAAACAGTAGATACGAAGCAATAACCGTTAAAATCTACTTTCCTGATAATATTCAGGGGCTACTGTGCAAGGAGACGACTATAGATTAAATCGGTAACACAGCGGATTAGACGCATGAGGTATTCATGGATTTTCCCGTATGAAACATGAATACGAATCAAACTGAAAGAAAAATATGTTTTTAGATAAGCGGTTTCTACTTACGAAATCTGTTTTTTTTAATGAAAT